CACATGGAGTTCAATCTGAATAAATGCGAGGTATTGCATTTTGGTACAATAAACAAGGGTAGGACTTATACAATTAATGGTAGGGTCTTGGGTGCAGGTACGTAATTCTTTGACCTTTGCGTCACATATTGACAGGGTGGTTAAAAAGACATTTGGCACACTTGCCTTCATTGCTGTCCTCCGAGGATAGGAGTTGGGAAGTCATATTAAGGTTGTACAGGACATCAGTGTGGCTGCTTCTAGAACAGTGTGTCCAGTTCTGGTCGCCCAGTTTTAGGAAGGATATTATTAAACTGGAGAGAGTTCAGAAGAGATTTACCAGGATGTTGCCGGGTATGGAAGATTTGACTTATTAGAAAAAAAGGCTGGATAGGCTTGGACTTTTTCCATTGGAGCACAGAAGGTCGAGAGGCAACCTGGTAGGAGTTTATAAAATAATGAGGGGTATGGATAGAGTTATTGGTGGTTGTGTTTTCCCTAGAATGGGGGATTTCAAAACTGGGGACACATTTTTAAGGTGAAAGGAGAGAGATTTAAAAATGACATGGGGGCACTTTTTTTTAAAAAACACAGAGGGTAGTTCACGTTTGGAACAAACTTTCTGAGGAAGTGGTGGATTTGGGTACAATTACAATGTTTAAAAGACATTTGGATAAATACGTGAATAGGAAAGGTTTGGAGGGATATGACCAGCAGCAGGCAGGTGGGACTAGTTTGAGATTATGTTCAGCATGGACTGGTTGGACCGAAGGGTCCGTTTCCATTCTGTACATCTCTGAGTAACTGGTCTACACATTCTATCAACTGTGATCTCAAAGTCAGGTAAAGTGGGTACTGTCTGTACCTTAAAAACATCTGATAGTACAACTGGAATGATGGGGCTCCATTTATGGCATGCTACTTCAGTAACAACTTTTATATTAAACAGTAAAAAAATTAAATAGCGAACCAGATTGGTGGCGTGTTCACAGTTGCAGTAAATACCAAAAATGAGTGTGTGATGGTATTTTGGAGTTAAGTATAATCTAGTAGAATATTTGGATGCTAAACTGCAACACAAACTTGTGGCACTACCTGAACCCAGAAACTAAACTACCAAAAAAAAAGTCCCTAATTTTTAAAATAAATCATATCTGCCAACTCAAAAATTCATGATAAAATTATTCTGGCTTTGGAACTTCACACAAGTTTAACTTGGTAACAATATGCAAACATTCGGAAGCACAATTAAAAACAAAGCAGAATGACAGCAGCAAATTCTTCCTGCTCCATTCAATAAGCCACACCAGTCATGTTGCTGTTACTTTGGGGGTGGGGTGGGTTCAGTTGCTTGGTAAATTCTGAAAAAGGTTCAGGAATCTAAATAAAATATGAGAAAGGGGTCAGTCAATGCAGGACTAAAGATGTTGTACTTAAATGCACATAATGTACAAAACAAGGTAAATGAGCTTCTACTACAGATTGAAATTGGTAGGTATGACATTGTAGGTAGATGTTGTTGCAAGGGGATCAGGGCTCAGAACTAAATACTTGGGAGACGCAAAAGAAATTATCCCAAGAAAAAAGAAACATATTAAAGGTGAGGATGAGGCAACCATGGCTGACAAGGGAAATCAAGGACAGCACAATAGCAAAAGGAAACGCATAAAATGTGGTGAATACTAACGAGAAGTCAGAGAATTGGGAAGGCTTTAAAAACTAGCAGAGGATAACCAAAAAAAAAGTCAATGGGGAAAGGTGGAGGAGAAGATTAAATGAGGGCAAGCTAGCTCGTAACATAAAAGATTGCAAGAGTTTTAGACATCTAAAAAGGTAAGAGAGCGGCAAGATTGGACATTGGGCCACTGGAAAATGGAGCTGGAGTAGTAGTAATGGGGAACAAAAAATATCAGTGGAACTGAACAGGTACTTTGCATCAGTTTTCACAGTGGAAAGAGTCAGGGGTACCAGTGAGTGTAGCCGCCATCACTAAGATAGTGGTGTTGGGCAAGCTGAAAATGGACAAATCACCCAGATTGGATAGACTACACACCAGAGTTCTGAAGGAGATAGCTGAGGAGATTGTAGAGGCATTGGTGGTGATTTTTCACGATTCACTGGAGTCAGAGAGGGTCCCAGAGGACTGGAAAATGGCTGCTGTAACACGCTTGTTTAAGAGGGCAGAGGACAAGAGACAGTAGACTGATTAGCCTAACCTCAGTCATTGATAGGATTTTAGAGTCCATTATTAAGGATGAGATTGCAGAGCTCTTGGAAGTGTTTGGTAAAGTAAGGCTTAGTCAGCCTGGCTTCATCAAGGGAAGGTCATGCCTGACAAGTCTGTTATAATTCTTTGAGAAGATAATGAGCAAATGAGACAAAGGACAGCCAGTGGACATAATCTATTTGTACTTCCAAAAAGCCTTTGACAAGGTGCCATACAGGAGGAATCTAAATAAGGTAAGAGTCTTGAGGGGCAATATATTGTCATGGATAGAGAATTGGCTGACTGGCAAAAGGCAGAGAATGGTGATAGAGGGGTCTTTTTCAGGATGGTAGCTGGTGACTAGTGGAGTTTCACAGGGGTAAGTGTTGTGGCCACAACTCTTCATGTTATACATTAACAATATGGACGTTGTTGCTGGGTTTGCCGATGACAAAGATAGCTGGAGCGACAGGTAGCATTAGGGAAGTGGTGAGGCTGCAAAAGGACTCAGACGTGCTGGGTTAACGGGCAAACAAGTGGCAGATGGAATACAACATGAAAAAGTGCGAGGTTATACATTTTGGTAAGAGGCATAGACTATTTTTTAAAAACAGGAAATGGATTTATGAATCTGAAGCAAAAAGGGACTTGCGATTCCTGGTTCAGGATTCTCTTAAGGTTAACACGCAGATTCAGTTGGCAGTTAGGATGTTCAACGCAATGTTGGCATTTATTTCAAGGCTGATAGAAAACAAGAGCACGGATGTACTGCTAAGGCTGTATAATGCTCTGATCAGACTGCATTTGGAATTCTGCAGGCAGTTTTGGGTGTTGTATCTAAGGAAGAATGTACTGGTATTGGAGGAGGTTTACAAGAATTCTTCATTCCTGCAATCACTTGTCACATAAGCAGCAGTGATGACATTGGGCCTGTACACTATGGTGTTCAGAAGGACGAGAGGGGATCTGATTGAAACTTAGAGCATATTGAGGGGCCTGGATGGAACGGAGGTGGAGAAAGTATTTCCACTAGTAGGAGAGACCAAGACCGGGAGTCACAGCCTCAGGGTGAAGGGGTGATCCTTCAGAAATGTGGTGAGGAATTTCTTCAGCCACAGGGTGGTGACTCTGTGGAACTAACTGCTGCAGATAGCCATGGAGGCCAAGTCATTTGAGACCGAGATAGATAGGTTCTTGATTAGTTTGGGGATTAAGGACTACAAGGAGAAGGCAGGAGAATGATGTTGAGAAACATATCAGCCATGATCGAATGGCAGAACAGACTCGATGGTTTGCATGGCCTAAATCTGCTCCTATACCTTATGGTATCATGATTCCTAAACAGTCCACCGTAATGATACCGTTAATAAAAATAAAATTGTAATTTGATTAGACACTTTCAAAATCTGCTTCCAGTCTGCTTTGTTCCAATTTCACAAACCATACCTCTGTGTTATCAATTGTATCATCCGTGAGTAAAATGACTGAATGTCTCTTTTTACGTTCAAGATTTTTGATAACAAGTTAGTTAGTTACTCAAGGAGCCAAAAATTCCCCCTGTTCACGCCCAAAAACACTACCACAGAAAATCATGCGGGACGTTTTAAAAAAAAGATAAACAAAGATAAACAATCTGAACTCAGGATAACGTCAATGTACAGTTCCCTCGACATGATAAAAGCAATTGAGAAATTTAATTCAAAATACATCCATGAGAGATGGTCTAACTTTATTGCACTTTTATTTAACCACATTTAATCCTTGTAATTTGCAAGAGAAGACAGAGCCAGCATAAAAGCGTCCTGTGCGCTTTAAAAGATGGCAGCTTCACCGGACATTACAACCCGAATAGCTTCATTTATAGGTGTCTGTTATTCAGGTAAAACGATGCTACTAACCTCATCGTACACATCGTCTATTTGTATTTGTCTTAGCATTTTCAAAAGTTGCCCGTAAACCCAAAATCGACAGACACTGTACTAAGATAATATGTACATCAAAAATGAAGTGATGCATTTTAGAAATATTGATTGTAATACGACAGTAACGTTTCCCATTAGGTAGCAGATACTGAGCATACTTAAGAGTTCTTGAATACATGTGTTCCAAAGCAGTAAAACAGATATATGGCCGTTGGATGTTGGTACAACTTGTCAACATCCAGCCGGAAATGAAAACGTAATTTGTTTCGTTTTCTTGAAAGAAACATCTGAACCTAATCGCTAAAACTTAAAAAGAAATCCACTATGAACACTTCGCTCAGCCAAATTTTCGCCATGAAATGTAAAACAAATGGTGGGCATGGGGGAAAACTGAAGCGATACATCCCGTCAGCCATTAAAGAATCATAAATTGTTGCAAAATGCTGTATTTTCCAAAAAGACTACGCGAAAAACTTCTCTGCAGCAGGCCGCAGTAGCTGAACTAGCCAACCTTGTCCTTTTTTCGGCATTATTAGAAAACAGCATTGCACAATCCGTTCTTTAAACAAAAACCTAGATGACTTACTGCACTCGGATCTCTCATGACATTTTTGGTCAGCATGTCAGTGCGGCTCGTTCTTTTCTTTTTCTCCTGTGTCATCTTATCACATTTTATAAGCGTTGTAAGGCGCTCCTCCTCCGGCTGCTGAGTGTTGGAGATGGGTCGAGGACTCGGTGGCGGTTGTTCGTCTGGGGCCGGGGTCTGTGCTAGTGAGGATTCTTCGCTCTCAAGCCTTAAGGGATACAATCTGATTGCAACCGCTACATTGTCGCCGCTACCACCACCTCCTCCTCCTCCTCCTCCTCCAGCACCACCACCACCACATTCCAGGTTCACGCTGCGCTCCTCCTTCTCTGCCACCGCCGTCATGTGAACTAGACTCCAACAACGCGAGAGCCGTACGCCTCTGAGGAACATTTACCTTAGGCGCCAAATTCAAAACCAAAAAGGCACTCTGTACTGCAACAAAACCCAACCCCAAACTTGCACGGAGAAGGTCACATGGGTATAACGCAACGAACCGACAATTACAAGCAGGATGGTAGTCAACTGCAGTTAGTAGAACCCGAGCTTTTGGAAAATTTAAATTTAAAGGAAAACACAAATACTGGATATCCTCAGCAAGTCTGACTGTTCTCATTTTCCTAGTCTTTTTTTTCCATTCCTCGTTTTCAGCAGGTCAGAGGCTTGGAATTCTGTGGCGAATAACTCACCTCCTCACTCCCCAAAGCTTGCCCACCACCTACAAGGCAGAAGTCAGAAGTATGATGAAATACTTTTTTTCTTATTCATTTGAGGGATGTGGGCATTGCTGGCTGGCCAGCATTTATTGACTACCCTAGTTGCCCTTGAGAAGGTAGGGGTGAGCTGCCATCATGAATCACTGCAGCTCACCTGCTGTGGGTTGCCCAACAATGCCATTACGGAGGGAACTCCAGGATTTTGACCCAGCAACAGTGAAGGAATGGGTGATATAGTTCCAAGTTAGGAAGATGAGTGGCTTGGAGGGGAGCTTGAAGGTCGTAGTGTTCCCATGTATCTGCTGCCCTTGTCCTTCTAGATGGAAGTGGTTGTGGATTTGGAAGGTTCTGTCTGAGGATCTTTGGTGAATTTCTGCATTGCATCTTGGAGAAAGTTTCAATACCAACTGCTGTTACCGAGATCAGTGGTGGAGGGAGTGTACACTTGTGGATGTAGTGCCAATCAAGAGGGCTGTTTTGTCTTGGATGGTGTTAAGCTTCTTGAGTGTGGTTGGGCGTGCACTCATCAAGGCAATTGGGGAGTATTCTATCACACTCCTGACTTGTGCCTGGTAGATGATGGAAGGATTTGGGGAGTCACGAGATGAGTTACTCCCTGCAGTATTCCTAGCCTCTGACCTAGTCTTGTAGCCGCTGTGTTTGTGTGCCCAGTCCAGTAGAGTTTCTGGTCAATGATAACCTCCAGGATGTTGATAGTGGGGGAATTTAGTGATGGTAACACCATTGAATTTCAAGGGGTGGTTGTTAGATTGTTGCTTATTGGTGATGGTCATAACCTGGCGTTTGTATGATGCGAATGTTACTTGCCAGTTGTCAGCCCAAGCCTGGATATTATCCAGATCTTGTTGCATTTGAACATGGATTGCTTCAGTATCTGAGGGGTTGTAAGTGGTGCAATCATCAGTGAACATCCCAATTTCTGACCTTTCGATGGAGGGAAGGTCATTGATGAAATAGTTGAAGATGGTTGAGCCTAGGACACTATCCTGAGGAACAGAAATGTCCTGGAGCTGAGATGATTGACCTCCAATAACCACAACCATCTTCCAATGTGCTGGATATGAGTCTAACCACCAGAGAGTTTGCTCCTAAAACCCATTGATTCCCATTTTGCTAGAGCTTCTTGATACCACACTTGAATGAAGCCTTGATGTTAAGGGCTGTCACTCTTAACTTGCTTCTGGAATTCAGTTCTTTTATCCATGCTTGAACCAATGTTGTGATGAGGTTAGGAGCTGAGTAGCCCTGGCAGAGCCCAAACTGTGCATCACTGAATAGGTTATTGCTGATTAGGTATTAGCGCTATTGATGACACCTTCCATCATTTCACTGATGATTGAGAGTAGATCCTGTGTGGACCAACTAGCAGAGCCATTCACCAATATCTTCAACTTCTCATTACTATGAGCCAAAGTCCCCACCTGCTTCAAGAAGACCACCATCATTCCGGTACCTAAGAAAGCATATGCCCTGTGCCTTAATGATCACTGCCCAGTGGCTCTGACCTCAATAATCATGAAGTGCTTCGAGAGGCTGGTCATGGCTCACATCAACTCCAGTCTCCCAGCCCGCCTCAATCCCTTACAATTTGCCTACTGACGTAACAGGTCCTCAGCGAACGCCATATCCCCAGCCCTGCACTCATCCCTGGAACATCTGGACAAGAAGCACACTTACTGCATGTCAGGTTCCTACTCATTGACTACAGCTCTGCCGTCAACACCATTATCCCCTCCAGACTGATCTCAAAACTCCGAGACCTTGGTCTTGGCTTCGGCCTCTGCAATTCAGCTTTTTGACTCACAGATCTCAATCAGTGAAGATAGGTAACTGTGCCTTCTCCACAATAACACTCAATAACACAAGAACCCCTCCAGGATGTGTCCTCAGCCAACTACTGTACTCCCTGTATTCTCACAACTGTGTTGCCAAATTTCAAAATGATTGCCATCGACAAGTTCACTGACGACACTATTGTAGTAGGATGGATATCTAACAACGACGAGTCAAAATACAGAAGAGATGGAGGGCTTGGTGATGTGGTGCAATGAGAACAACCTCTCTCTCAATGTCGGTTAAACTAAATGAACTGATCATTGACTTCAGAAGGAAAGGAAGAGGACACGCCTCCAACTACATCAATGGAACTGAGGTTGAGATGGTGGAGAGCATCAAGTTCCTCAGAATGACGATAACCGACAACCTGTCTTGAACTTCCCACATAGATGTGACGGTCAAGCAGGCACAACAACACCTCTTCTTCCTCAGACAGCTCAGGAAATTTGGCATGTCCGTAGGGACACTCACCATCTTCTACAGATGCATAATTGAAAGCACATTGTCTGTGAGTTATGATTCCATGAGTAGGACTATGTCAAGCTCTTGCTTGACTGGTCTGTGAGACAGCTGTCTCAATTTTGGCACTTGGCCCCAGACGTAAGTAAGAAGGACTTTGCACAGCGGACAGGACTGTTTTTGCCATTGTCTTTTCTGGTGCCTAGGTCGATGCCAGATGATCCATCCGGTTTCATTTCTTTGAGACTGTAGCGATCGGTACAACTGAATTGCTTGCCAAGCCATTTCAGAAGGCATCTGAGAGTCAATCACGTTGCTGTAGGTCTGAAGTCACGTGTAGGCCAGACCAGGTGAGAATGGCAGATTTTCTTCACTGAAGGGCAGTAGTGAACCAGATGTTTTATTTTCCATCAATCAACAATGGTTTCACGGTTATCAGTAGATTCTTAATTCCAGATTTTTTTAAAATTTGAATTCAAATTCCATCATCTGCTGTGACAGGATTCGAACCCAGGTCACCAGAACAGAAATGAGTGAATTAGAGGGTGAATGAGAGTCATCACAGCAGAATTCTGGGAGACATCGCCACAGTCATCACAACTGTATAGCAGGTTAGAGAGAACCTGGTGCAAGAGGGATGGGTTGCACTTGAACTGGAGGGAGTCCGATATCCTTGCGGGGAGATTTGCTAGTGTTACCCGGGAGGGTTTAAACTAGTTTGGCAGGGGTGTGGGACTCTGAATAAGAGAGGGCTATCGAGAAGTCAAGGGAAGATACATTAGCCATCAAGAGCAAGTTTACTATTCAGGATAGCCGCGGCACAGTAAAGGGAGGGAAAAGACTTCTGGTTTAAAGTGCATTTACTTCAACACACGAGGCCTGACTGGTAAGGCAGATGAGCTCACAGCATGGATTGGCTCTGGGGATTGGGATATTGTAGCCATAACAGAAACGTGACTGAGAGAGGGCGGGACTGGCAGCTCAATGTTCCAGGATACAGAAGCTATCGGCACGACAGAAGTACAAGTAAGCGAGGAGGGGGATTTGCCCTTTTGATAAGGGAGGACATAAGAATATATTCTCTAAGCACTGTTGTTAAGGGGTCATCAAATGAGGCCATATGGTTAGAACTTAGAAACAAGAAGGGGATGGTCACTCTGTTGGGACTGTATTATAGACCCTCAAATAGTCAGTGAGTATTAGAGGAGCAGATGTGTAGAGAGATAGCAGATACCTGTAGGAATAACAGAATAGTATTGGTTGGAGATTTTAATTTCCCCCAAAATGACTGGGCCACCTGGAGTGTAAAGGGCCCGGGGAGGGTGGAATTTCTCAAATGTGTCCAAGAGAGTTTCCTAAATCAATATGTAGAGGGCCCTAATCGGGAGAGTGCAACACTGGACCTCCTCTTAGGAAACAAGGTCAGGCAAGTGACTGAAGTGCCAGTCGGAGAGATTTTGGGTCCAGTGACCATGACTCTTAGTTTTAACATAGTTGAGGAAAATGATAGGACAGGTCCACAGGTTAAGGTGCTAAACTCGAGCAGGGCCAATTTTGTGGCCATTAGGCAGGATCTAGATGCAGTCGATTGGGTGAGTCCGTTTGAAGGAAAAAGAACAACTGCCAAATGGGTGGCTTTTAAAAGTGTGATATCAAGAGTCCAGGCAGTGTATGTCCCTGTTGGGGTGAAAGCAAAAGCTGGCAGGTGAGGGATCCCTGGCTGACGAGGAATGTGGTCAGCTAAAAGAAGAAAGTATACTTTGGGTTTAAGCTATTGGGCTCAAGTGAATCCCTAGATGACTTTAAAAAGTGTAGGAGCACACTTAAGAGGGAAATCAGAAGAGCAAAAAGACGGTATGAGATGGATCTGGCAGATAAGGTTAAAGATAATCCCAAGAGGTTTTATAGCTATATTAAGAGTAAAAGGGTGGCTAGGGAGAGAATAGGTCCCCTTAAGATCAGCATGGCCATCTATGTGTAGAGCCACAGGAGATGGGGGAGATTTTTAATGAATATTTCTCCTCAGTGTTTACTGAGGAGGGAATCATGGATGCTAAGGAAATAAGGAAAACAAGTGGAGATGTTTTGGACTGCATAAAAATTACCAGAGAGGAGGTGTTTGCAGCCTTAGATCGCATTAAGGTGTTTAAATCCCCTTGGCCTGATAAAGTCTACCCTCAGATGTTGTGGGAGGCTAAGGAAGAAATTGCAGAGGCCCTTGCAGAGATTTCTGCTTCAACCTTAGCCACTGGTGAAGTTCGGGAAGACTGGAGGGTGGCCAATGTTGTTCCATTGTTTAAGGAAGGTAGCAAAGACAAGCCAGGGAACTACAGGTCAGTGAGCTTGACACCAGTGATAGGCAAGTTGTTGGGAGAGGATACTGAGGGACAAGATTAACCAACATTTGGATAGTCAAGGTCTGATTAGGGATAGTCAGCATGGAT